GATATACAGTGCACTGTTACCATAGTTAGTTAATATAAACAATGAATTTGTTTATCTACCAATATAAATTACATTATATCACATATCAAGCTTGCAGCTTCCTTTCATGGTTCCTCTGAATTTCTTCAATACAAACCCAAGTTGTATATGCAAGTTTAAACAGCCAACAATGTCATGGAGAGGGGAGTGAATTGCCAGGTGGTATATTTTGTTGCCAGTAAAGATAATCAATTGCAATTTGCAACATTGAGAAAGTCAGGATTGATCTGAGAAAAAACATTTTTCTGCATATTATTTTTCATACTTTAAGAAGAAAAAAAACTTTTTTATTTTAGAGATTAATACATGTATATGAAATTACAGGAGCCATGCCATGATCATCTTATATTAGAATTCATATATCTCTTCCCCCAAAATTATAATAAATTTTGTACACATTACTTTTTGTACTTTTAAGAAAGAAAACAAAATTTGTTTATGAGAAAAGTACATGTATATGAAATTTCTGGAGCCATGCCACAATTGTGTTATAGCATGCTATGGCTGGGTCAGACTGTATGTAGAGATATATGGACAAAAATAACCCAGCTAAGCCCAAGCTAGGTGAAATTACTCCAGCTGTTATACATGAATGTTATACATGAATTAATCCATCTATCATACATGTACATGAATGTTAAACATAAATTAATCCAGCTGTTATACATGAATGTTATACATGAATTAATCCAGCTGTTATACATGAATGTTATACATGAATTACTCCAGCAGTTATACATGAATGTTATACATGAATTAATCCATCTATCATAAATGTACATGAATGTTATACATGAATTAATCCAGCTGTTATACATGAATTAATCCAGCTGTTATACATGAAAGTTATACATGAATTAAATTATTCCAGCTGTTATACATGAATGTTATACATGAATTAATCCAGCTGTTATACATGAATGACTTTTGTAATTTTCTGTTTGTTCGTTACACCTTCATTATCTTGGATTCTTTTTCAACTGTTCACATGAACATTGGAATGTGGATGCATCTAATTGTGGATAACTCAACTAATCAACATTGGAATGTGGATGCATCTAATTGGGGATAACTCAACTAATCAACATTGGAATGTGGATGCATCTAATTGGGGATAACTCAACTAATCAACTTTGGAATATGGATGCTTCTAATTGGGGATAACTCAACTAATCAACATTGGAATGTGGATGCATTTAATTGGGGATAACTAATCAACATTGGAATGTGGATGCATCTAATTGGGGATAACTCAACTAATCAACAATTGTTCAGTGTGAGCTCTATTCATGCTTGAGTAACTTTTATTTCTAGCTGTCTTGCTATTTTTAAATTTTGCATAAATGTTACATCTTAGATCCTTATGATATTGCCTTTAGGTGTCAATAATGATGCTTATCATAGGGAGGGAACATTCCATATAAAAACTAGATCATTTGATACAATTTTCAATGTTTAGTGACTTTTGTGTTTTCAGCTGTCAGTTTGTACATTTCCCAATATATTGGACACTTCCTAAACTAATGAAATTTGGTATGTGGATGCATCTTGAGTAGAGTAAGATACATTGGACCTACTTCCCAGACCTGAGTAACCAGGCTGTGTCTTTTCCACCATTACAAATGTACTTCTGTTGAGAAGGGTATTCATGTTCTTGAGTAATGTAATGTATTGTTTTATCATTTTAGATGCAAAGAGCTCTTAGGGATACCATCCAGTCCTCAAGCATTATTAATGTCTGCAGAGGAAATAATGGTATGAGGTTTTGTATACAGTGACGAGTTTATGGCATGGTCTGTTTTTGCCCTGTCATAGATAATTAAGAGACAATATTATATCCCTGTATGCTGCTTACAATGTAACTTGTGCAGAAACTGTTTTCATATGCAGATTAATTCTGCTGCATAGATACTAGAAACAGTGTGCCAGAGATATACAGCATTGTGTGTGGGTGTGGGTGCATGTGTGATCTTGGTATATGACATCATATTTTCAGAAGTTGAATTTCAGTGCAATAAATGATGTTTTGAGACTTCACTTTCAAACTGTATCTGTATGTTTCAGAATATGAAAATATTTCATCTGAGAACCTGGTGCCTGGTGATGTGATTGAGATCCCCCATAAAGGGTGCATTATGCAGTGTGATGCAGTTCTTGTTACTGGCAACTGCATTGTCAATGAGAGCATGTTAACAGGTCTGTATTCCTTATAATGGCTGTTATTTAGTTTTATTATTTTTATATCACTGGCAATAGATTTGTCAATAACAGTATATTAACAGTTATGTATTTCCCATAATGACTGTGCTCAGTGTATTGGAAAACCATTCTTGTTGACTGTCAATGGTTTAGTCATTTAAAGCATGCTGACAGTTAGATATCTCCTCCTATAATGGCTGTGCTATGTAATCTGTTCTTATCACTGGCAACAGCATTGTCAATGACAGTCTCCTAACAGGTATGTATCTCCTATAATGGCTGTGTCATTTAGTGTAATGCTGGTCTCATTACTCCAAGAACTGCACAGTCAATGAGAGCATTCTTACAGGTATTTGTATTCCCTGTAATAGATGTGTTATATAATCTGACACTTTTCTTGTCACTCTCACTGAATCATCTAGCTGAGCATGTTATTTTATTAAAATGCCCTGTTACTGTCTTATATTTCAAGTGATTAGGATAAAAAAAACAACACTAATGCCGCTAATTCTGTGCAACTGCTTTAGCATTTAATACATGCTTCTTCAGGCACTAAATGTTTTGAAAGAAACGGACGATGTCTTTATATTTTAAAATAACAATTTTGTCATTATGTAAGATCATAAATAATATGCATCATCATAACAATTATATATATATATATATATATATATATATATATATATATATATATATATATATATATATATATATATATATATGTGTGTGTGTGTATGACAGGATCTAAAAGATATTTGAGTTTCTTGGTGAGGGAATACATCTTGATGACTGCTGTGTCTCAAAGTAGGTTAGTGTCACCCAGATTTCCTGCTTCACTGACTTAATTCAGTCTTTTGTGTTGTTCCTGTATCTTCAGACTGGATGAATATACGCAACTATTATTGGTACCACACACATACAACAAAAAAAACCTTCATTGTTACCTACATTTTACATATTACTAGCATGTATTAAGTTTTTTCAGTCATATTGCTATGATGTCTGCAGTGTGGCAGTTCATAGAGATGTTTAGCACTGGGGCTTCATACCTTAGTCATGTAGCATGCTGTCCCACCCACACCAGTCCTAACACTAACCTCTTAATGCAGAGTGCCTAGAAAGGCAGCTGCTAGTACCATTTATGAGTCTTTGGTATTACTTGGCCAGTTTGAACCCACAACTTCCCTCATCTGAGGCAGATGCACTAACCACCAGAGTGGTCTAAACTCTGTAATTTTACTATCAGCAGAACATGTCTTCTCTCCGGTTCATGTAGTAGTTAGGTTAGGTGATATTGTAAAGTTTTGGAGAGAACAATTTGGTACTAGCAATGAACTGCAAGTCACATGAATTGTTAATTTCTAGCCTGAATAAGTTGATGTCCTATGTGACACTGGTATGTACTATATTGTCAGGAGAGACCATGCTTAATAAGTTAGTATTCCTTGTAATGGCAATGTTTATATGATGCTAACAGCTTGTAATTCTTTTATAAACAATTCTTGTTATTTGCAAAAGCACAAAAATCAGTACTTTGAACATGACAAATACATTCATTAGCTGTATTTTGTAATGGTTACATGTTTATTAATTAACCTAAATTGTAGATTTAGCGATAATGAAATTGAGGTAACACTGACAAATGCTTCATTATATCCGCGTTTGACAAGCATCATTTGTTTTGACAGAATTGGTAGAAGGCACATTGATAGTTAATTATATCAAGCAATGATAGATAATAGTATCAAGCAATGATAATAGTTAATTATATCAGGCAATGATAGTTAATTATATCAAGCATATAAGATTGTTAGTACAGCTAAAGCAACTCATTATAACACAAGTATGTAATATGTGCCAAACTGTGGTATATCAAGAACGATCACAGGCAAAACTCTAAAGGAACAAGTAGTAATAATTTCAGTTTATGCAAATGAGATATATTTTTGCTTCATGATAATTTGCATTCCAGTGTCATTATTTCTGGGTTACAGCTATAATAAAACTGCATTATTTTCACTAGGAGAAAGTGTGCCTGTAACAAAGACTCCATTGCCCAACCCAAAAATTACCAGAGAGGATAGCACCATTCACTTCAGCACCAAGGATCATTCTCGTCATATTCTATTTTGTGGTACACGTGTCATACAGACTCGCTATCATGGAGGGCAGCGAGTTAGGGCAGTTGTCTTCAGAACAGGTAATAATTTTATCATAAACTCTTTTATGATTTAAAACCACATTTAATAGTGTGTGCTACATCTGTTACTTTGATAACAGGTTGGATGTTGCATAACAATGAATAAACTTTTAATTGAATGATACAGATTTTCATGAATTCTCTGCTGCTACAATCCACAAATTTAATAGCAGTAACACATGACCTGCTGCTATTGCATTGCTGTCCTTTTCCAGAGTGCCAATCCCCCAGCACAAGCTAAATATTCCCCATGTCCAATTAGTAAATAACATAAGAAATACAATGCATTAGTATTGTGTGTGTGTGTGTTTTGGATTTTCAACATGGCTTTAAAACAATTTCAGTCATATTGCTGCGATGTCTGCAGTGTGGCAGTTTATAGTGATGCCTAGCACTGGGAGTTTATAGTGATGGCTAGCACAGGGGCATCATGCCACAGACATGTAGCATGATGTCCCACCCAGTCACATTATCCTGACACCAGGATGACCAGTCCTGACACTAACCTCTTAATGCTGAGAGCCAAGCTAGGCATTTATTAGTACAGTTGTTATAAGTCATTGGTTTCACTTGGCCGGGGATTGAACCCATGACCTCCTGCATCTGAGGTGGATGCTCTAACCACTGGGCTACTGGAGCAGTCTGCAATAGTATTAAGTAAGTGTTAGCTCTAAATATCAAAATAGCACAATGTGTCAAAAGTTTTGCTTATTACTTCTTCAGACTCCATTAGTTAGTGTTACACACCCAAAAACTACAAGTAGGTTCTTTTTCCTAGTCCAAGAGCAGCAGTCAGTTTTGAACTGTTTAATGTTTCTGAAGTTTATTTTGAGATAAGCCAGACAAAATTGAATTACAATAGTCCAGTCTTGAAAGTACTAAGGAACACACAAGTATTTTTGTGGCGTCAACTGACAGAGACTTGCGAATGGAGTTGATGCATCTCAGCTCAAGATATGCAGCCCAGCATATGTTTATGACATGTTGATGCAACGAGAGAGTACTGTTAAAAGTGACACTGAGGTTTCTTACTGACTGCTTGAATTTAATGTTGGTGTTGCTGATATATATTGTCTGAGGTAAAGGATGTGAATGAGAAAGTCTTTGTGTTGTAATCAGGATGACTTCAGTTTTATCATCATTCATCTGCAGCTTGTTACATGTCATCCATGACTTCACATCAGAAATGCACCTCTCTATGTCTTGGATGGTAGCTTTAACTTCAGCTGGATGGCTAGATTTGTATATTTGGGTGTCATCAGCATACAGTTGGAGAGACACTGGATGATGATCTATGACACTTGAGAGTGGCTAAATGTACAGAATGAAGAGAACAAGTACAAGAACAGACCCCTGTGGAACACCACAGCATAGATCAACTGGGTTGGAGTGTTTTACATTTGCAGACGCAATATGTGTCCTTTTGACCAAGTAGGACTTGAAACATAGTAAGGCTGTATTGTGAATGCCAAATACATGCTGGAGATGGTGAAGTAATATATAATGATTTATAGTGTCAAATGCAGCAGACAAGTCAAAGAGAATGAGGACTGTAGTCTTATCGCCATCCAAAGCAGAGAGAAGTCCGTTGACTACTTTCAGAAGAGCAGTTTCAATACTGTGGCGAAAGCTATATGCAGACTGTACATTGCTAAAAAAGACTGTTTGAATTCAGATGAGATACAAGATAGGCATGCCTGTTCACCAGAATGTCAGACGAGTAACTACCTAAGAGGAGATGAAGGAGGGAGAGATATCTGAGAGTCATTGGAAGAAATGCTTCAAAGATTCTGTCAAGTCATTTCTAAAAACACTTCAACATTAACATTCGCACACAGAATCTCTCCACATACTGTATTTTTTTATTATTATTATTATTATTATTATTATTATTATTATTATTATTATTATTATTATTATTATTATTATTACTTTATTTAAAGAGGTAAACTCAATTAGCTAAGAACTAATCTACCTTGAGGCCCTCATTCAAAGGAATTTATTTATTTTTGCTGCATCTCTGAAGCCATTGTATATACTGGGTTTGGAAAGAGGAAATAGAGTGGGCATTTCTAATCTCAACTGGAATACTATTCCAGAGCACAGTTCCAGAGTATTGTAAACTTTTTTTAAATAATTTCTTATTTGGTTTGGGAATTTAGGATTGTTTGGTAGACATTGATCGCAGGTGAGGAGTACTTCCAGGTAGCCTATACTTGAATAGTGATTGTAAATATTCAGGAGCACTATTATTGGCTATCCTGTACATTAATTTGGCTTTTCTTAAACAGATTCGGTCTTTAATAGGTAGTATTTTTAACTTACCAGCTAAATTTTCCTTGCTTTCTTTCTGGATTGATATTAACTCAAAAGCTCTTTTTTGGAGATGTGTAACTTTGCTAAGTTTTTATCATTTGAATTACCCCATACTGTATTACAGTAGTCTAAATAGGGTTGTATGTAACTGTTATAAAATAGTTTTCTGTGCTTTTCCAGGAGAAAGTGTCTTATCCTACTGAGAAGCCATAAACTTGGATTGACTTTTTTACTGATATGTTTGATATGTAGCTACAGACATTAACAGAAGATAATTCTGGAGGCATTGCAGAAGTGCAAAGAAATCTCAGAACTGTCCTCTATTGATCAAGCACATCTCTTATCAAATATATGACAGACAGTCTAGAGCACAAATTGGTTTGTTCTGCCATTCACATAATCATAGGAATCAAATCAGTTAGTAATCTCATGATCATCTTTGAACTTGAAGGACAAACACAGTTAAATCAGGTAAGAGTGAATATTTTTTACAGTGCTAAATCAGATCAAGGCCAGTACAGTCCCCAGTATTACATGATATGAGGTTCGCTACTGCTACAGTGCAACATATATAGACCAGTGTTGTTCACACTATTACTTTATATGAGGTTCAGTACTGTTCAAAGTATTACTAATCATGCCAAGTCGCCAGATTTGTCTAGGAGTCTTTTGATTTTTGACCTCATCTTTTGATCTACCAATTTACCGACAAGATCTCCAAGAAAAAAAAAATCAAGCAGAGGCTTTTCCAGCTAAACAACATTCTTGACTGCCGTATTCCGTCAATCCAGTTACTGGTCTATGGAGTAGAGAGAGAGGTCAGAGAATTAGACTATCAAGTTGTTACAATCAGAATGCTTTCTGCCTTTTACATCAATTCGAGAAATTAACCTCTGATATAATTCATTCCCATTGAGAATTATTTTCTGAAATACTTTTGCTCACATGGTGCAATTTAGCAGTGGAAGGAGACACATTACAATTGGAATATCATTGGCTTTTGCAGTTGTACAGTAAGCAATGTGCTCCGCCGTAGGCGAATCACCAAACAGATAAAAATTTGATGCATATTCCTACAACAACAACTTCTGAAGCTATTATTCATTACTGGTTAGAGACCAATTCTCGCCGCGTACCAATTGTGGTCATAATAATAATAACTCTGTTAATTATAATTACTTGATGCTTATTTTCAATCGGATTGTCAGCTATAATCACTTTTCTTACTTTTTAAACAGGAACCAAAACTTTGCACGCGGTCGCAAGTTATTAATATGGCCACAATTGGTATGCATCAAGAATTGGTCTCTAACCAGTATAGTTATTTTACTTTTATAGTTATGATATGATCTACACTTTCACGCTTAAACTAATGAGAAAAATAGTTGTTGTTACGCTAATCTCCCTGATTTGGACCCCATTTCCCTGATTTTGAACACACAACTTGGCATGTATGTATTACATTAGATCAAAACAAGTACTGTTCACAGGATCACATTATTTGAGGTTCAGTGCTCTTCACAGTATTACATTAGATCAAGGCCAGTACAGTTCATAGTATTACATTATGAGGTTCAATGCTGTTCACAGTATTACATTAAATGAGGTTCAGTTCTATTTGCAGTTTAGGTTGTATAAGATTCAGTGTTGTTCACATTATTACATTAAATCAAGGCCAGTACTGTGTATAGTATTACATTACATGAGGTTCAGTACTGTTCACTGTATTACATTATTTGAGGTCCAGTGCTGTACACAGTATCACATCAGATCAGAATAAATGTTGTTCAGAATAATACATCAGAACTGAGTCAATATTGTTTACTTAAAATCCCATGGATTATGAACAGCATGGATTCTGATTTGTTGGAATATTATATTGCAGTAACTTCAGAGTTAGGTCTAAGTAGAACTGCAGTGGACCATTGTATGCCTCATATAAGAAAATACAGTAAACAATAAAGTGCCTTTAATTTACATATACTGGTTTGCACATATTTCTTGAGAATTATTTCATTTAAATTTTTCTAAGAGAGGAAATGCTGCTAATTTTTTAGGGATACTATCTATAACAGGAATTTAAATTTTGCATTAAAAAGTATGCATACACCACCTCTAGAGAAAACATTAAAATTGCATTCCATGTCATTAGATAGATTCAGTGGAATTACCTAACTATGCTTCTTATTTTATTCCAACTCATTAATTGGAACGAGGTTCTTTGTCTAGTAACCCTCTAGGAGTTGACATAATTTGTTGAATATCTTATTTAAGCACTGACACAATTAATTTTCCATTAACAGGTTTTTCCACAGCAAAAGGAGAGTTGGTACGATCAATTTTATACCCCAAGCCGGTTGACTTTAAGTTCAACAGAGATACATATAAATTTATTGGAGTGCTTGCCTCAATAGCTTTATGTGGCTTGGTGTATACAATTGTTCTTAAGGTGAGTACAAGATGAATTTCCGATTAGAGATTTAAAATTGCTCAAGAAAAAAAAGTTATTTCAAGAAATGGAACAGAAAAAGGTAAACAGTTTCATATGTAGCATGACTTCCATTAGAGCCTTTGTAGTTAAGATTTGTAAGTCTTGTTTACTTATGATCCTTCTAACTTAGTTTTGCCAAAACCACCTTAGTTACCATGTCCACCTGTATGTTGTATACACACAATGTTGTTGTGGGTTTTTTTCATTTAAGCTAAATAAAGGGTGGGCATGACAATAAAGAAATCTCATCCTTGTGGAGTAATAGACTGGTTTAATATTGTACCAAATAAAATGGTTTAATCTTCTTCCAAAAAAAGTGGTTGGTATATCTTCTACAAGATAAGGTGGTATAATTGTGTTAAAAAATGGTATAATTTTGTATCAAATAAAGTGGACTGTAACCTTACACCAGATAAAGTGGTGTAATTTTGTTCTAAAATAATGTGGATTGTAATTATTTACCAAATAAAGCAGTGTGTGTTCCAAAACAAAGTGGTGTAATCTTGTACTAAATAAAATAGTATAGTCTTGTACTGAATAAAGTGTATTCGTGTACCAAACAAAGTAGTTTAATTTTCTATGAGAATGAAAATGGTATAATCTTGTAAAAAATAAAGTGGTGTAATTTTCTACCAAATAAAATGGTGTAATCTTGTACCAAACAAAATGATGTAATCTTATAATAGATAAAATGGTGCAATCTTGTCTGAAATAAAGTGGTGAAATCTTGTTCCAAATAAGAAAGTAAAATCATGTACCAAATAAATTGTACTTTTGTAGCAAATAAAGTGACATAATTTTGTAGCAAATAAGGTATAATATAAATCTAAATAAAATGAAGTAATCTTGTACCAAAATGAAATTGTGTAATCTTGTACCAAATAAAGTGTAATTTTATACCAAATAGAGTGACATAATCTTGTACCATATTAGGTGGTGTAATCTTATACCAAATAAAGTGCAATTTTGTACAGATAAAGTGGTGTAGTTTTGTACAAAATTAAAGGGTGTAATCTTATACCAAATAGTGTTATTTTGTGCCATGTAAAGTGGCATAGTCTTATTCCAAAAAAAGAGTGGTGTAATCTTGCTTAAAAATAATGTGGTGTAATCTTGTTCCAAATGAAAATGGTGTCACCTGATTCTGTTCAAATAAAGGGTTGCAGTTGCCTAGTGGTTAGAGCGTCTGCTTCTGATGCAGGAGGTCATGGGTTTGATCCACAATCGAGTCATACCAAAGACGTAAAATGGTACTAACAGCTGCCTTGCTTGGTGCTCATCATTAAGAGGTTAGTGTTAGGACTAGTCGGCCTGATGTCAGCATAATGTAACTGGGTGAGACATCATGCTACATGTCTGTAACATGATGCCCCAGTGCTACACATCATTATAAACTGCCACACTGCAGACATCTTAGTGATATGACTGAAAAATTTTTAATTTTACGTTAATAATCATAATCATATCACAGCAAATAAAGGGTTGTAATTTGTACCAAATAAAGTGGTGAAGTCTTGTTCTAAATAAAGCAGTTTAATCTTGTTCTTGTTCTAAGTAAAGCAGTGTAAACATGTTCTAAATAAAGTGGTGTAATCTTGTTCTAAGTATAGTGGTGTAATCTTGTTCTAAATAAAGTGGTGTAATCTTGTTCTAAGTAAAGTGGTGTAATCTTGTTCTAAATAAAGTGGTGTAATCTTGTTCTAAATAAAGTCGTGTAATCTTGTTCTAAGTAAAGTGGTGTAATCTTGTTCTAAGTATGTGGTGTAATCTTGTTCTAAATAAAGTGGTGTAATCTTGTTCTAAATAAAGTGATGTAATTTTTTTTCTAAATAAAGCAAGATAATCTTGTTCTAAAAAAGTGGTGTAAACTTGTTCTAAATAAAGTGGTGTAATTTTGTTCTAAATAAAGTGACGTAATCTTGTTCTAAGTATAGTGGTGTAATCTTGTTCTAAATAAAGTGGTGTAATCTTGTTCTAAATAAAGTGCTGTAATCTTGTTCTAAATAAAGCAGTGTAATCTTGTTCTAAGTATAGTGGTGTAATCTTGTTCTAAATAAAGTGGTGTAATCTTGTTCTAAATATAGTGGTGTAATCTTGTTCTAAATAAAGTGGTGTAATCTTGTTCTAAATAAAGTCGTGTAATCTTGTTCTAAGTAAAGTGGTGTAATCTTGTTCTAAGTATAGTGGTGTAATCTTGTTCTAAATAAAGTGGTGTAATCTTGTTCTAAATAGAGCAAGGTAATCTTGTTCTAAATAAAGTGGTGTAATCTTGTTCTAAATAAAGTCGTGTAATCTTGTTCTAAGTAAAGTGGTGTAATCTTGTTCTAAGTAAAGTGACGTAATCTTGTTCTAAGTATAGTGGTGTAATCTTGTTCTAAATAAAGTGGTGTAATCTTGTTCTAAATAAAGTGGTGTAACCTTGTTCTAAATAAAGTGACGTAATCTTGTTCTAAGTATAGTGGTGTAATCTTGTTCTAAATAAAGTGGTGTAATCTTGTTCTAAATAAAGTGCTGTAATCTTGTTCTAAATATAGTGGTGTAATCTTGTTTTAAGTAAAGTGGTGTAATCTTGTTCTAAATAAAGTGGTGTAATCTTGTTCTAAATATAGTGGTGTAATCTTGTTCTAAATAAAGTGGTGTAATCTTGTTCTAAATAAAGTCGTGTAATCTTGTTCTAAGTAAAGTGGTGTAATCTTGTTCTAAGTATAGTGGTGTAATCTTGTTCTAAATAAAGTGGTGTAATCTTGTTCTAAATAAAGTGGTGTAATCTTGTTCTAAATAAAGTGGTGTAATCTTGTTCTAAATAAAGTAGTGTAATCTTGTTTTAAGTATAGTGGTGTAATCTTGTTCTATGTATAGTGGTGTAATCTTGTTCTAAATAAAGTGGTGTAATCTTGTTCTAAATAAAGTGGTGTAATCTTGTTCTAAATAAAGTGGTGTAATCTTGTTCTAAATAAAGTGGTGTAATCTTGTTCTAAATAAAGTAGTGTAATCTTGTTTTAAGTATAGTGGTGTAATCTTGTTCTATGTATAGTGGTGTAATCTTGTTCTAAATAAGTGGTGTAATCTTGTTCTAAATAAAGTGGTGTAATCTTGTTTTAAGTATAGTGGTGTAATCTTGTTCTATGTATAGTGGTGTAATCTTGTTCTAAATAAAGTGGTGTAATCTTGTTCTAAATAAAGTGGTGTAATCTTGTTCTAAGTATAGTGGTGTAATCTTGTTCTAAGTATAGTGGTGTAATCATGTTCTAAATAAAGTGGTGTAATCTTGTTCTAAATGAAATGATGTAATCTTGTTCTAAATAAAGCAATGTAATCTTGTTCTAAATAAAGTGGTATAATCTTGTTTTAAATAAAGCAATGTAATCTTGTTCTAAATAAAGTGGTGTAATTTAGTTCTAAATAAAGTTGTGTAATTTTGTTCTAAATAAATTGGTGTAATCTTGTTCTAAGTATAGTGGTGTAATCTTGTTCTAAGTATAGTGGTGTAATCTTGTTCTAAATAAAGTGGTGTAATCTTGTTCTAAATGAAATGGTGTAATCTTGTTCTAAATAAAGCAATGTAATCTTGTTCTAAATAAAATGGTGTAATTTTGTTCTAAATAAAGTGGTGTAATCTTTTTCTAAATAATGTGGTGTAATCTTGTTCTAAATAAAGTGGTATAATCTTGTTCTAAATAAAGCAATGTAATCTTGTTCTAAATAAAGTGGTATAATCTTGTTCTAAATAAAGTGGTGTAATCTTGTTCTAAATAAAGTGGTGTAATCTTGTTTTAAGTATAGTGGTGTAATCTTGTTCTATGTATAGTGGTGTAATCTTGTTCTAAATAAAGTTGTGTAATCTTGTTCTAAATAACATGGTGTAATCTTGTTCTAAATAAAGTGGTGTAATTTTGTTCTAAATAAAGTGGTGTAATCTTGTTCTAAGTATAGTGGTGTAATCTTGTTCTAAGTATAGTGGTGTAATCATGTTCTAAATAAAGTGGTGTAATCTTGTTCTAAATGAAATGGTCTAATCTTGTTCTAAATAAAGCAATGTAATCTTGTTCTAAATAAAGTGGTATAATCTTGTTTTAAATAAAGCAATGTAATCTTGTTCTAAATAAAGTGGTGTAATTTTGTTCTAAATAAAGTTGTGTAATTTTGTTCTAAATAAAGTGGTGTAATCTTGTTCTAAATAAAGTGGTGTAATCTTGTTCTAAAAATAGTGGTATAATCTTGTTCTAAATAAAGTGGTGTAATCTTGTTCTAAATAAAGTGGTGTAATCTTGTTTTAAGTATAGTGGTGTAATCTTGTTCTATGTATAGTGGTGTAATCTTGTTCTAAATAAAGTGGTGTAATCTTGTTCTAAATAAAGTGGTGTAATCTTGTTCTAAATAAAGCAATGTAATCTTGTTCTAAATAAAGTGGTGTAACCTTGTTCTAAATAAAGTGGTGTAATCTTGTTCTAAAAAAAGTGATGTAATTTTGTTCTAAATAAAGTGGTGTAATCTTGTTCTAAGTATAGTGGTGTAATCTTGTTCTAAGTATAGTGGTGTAATCTTGTTCTAAATAAAGTGGTGTAATCTTGTTCTAAATGAAATGGTGTAATCTTGTTCTAAATAAAGCAATGTAATCTTGTTCTAAATAAAGTGGTGTAATCTTGTTCTAAATAAAGTGGTGTAATCTTGTTCTAAATAAAGTGGTGTAATCTTGTTCTAAATAAAGTGGTGTAATCTTGTTCTAAATAAAGTGGTATAATCTTGTTCTAAATAAAGCAATGTAATCTTGTTCTAAATAAAGTGGTGTAATCTTGTTTCTAAATAAAGTGGTGTAATTTTGTTCTTAATAAAGCAATGTAATCTTGTTCTAAATAAAGTGGTGTAATCTTGTTTCTAAATAAAGTGGTGTAATTTTGTTCTAAATAAAGTGGTGTAATCTTGTTCTAAATAAAGTGGTGTAATTTTGTTCTAAATAAAGTGGTGTAATTTTGTTCTAAATAAAGTGGTGTAATCTTGTTCTAAATAAAGTGGTGTAATTTTGTTCTAAATAAAGTGGTGTAATTTTGTTCTAAATAAAGTGGTGTAATCTTGTTCTAAATAAAGTGGTGTAATCTTGTTCTAAATAAAGCAGTGTAATCTTGTTCTAAGTATAGTGGTGTAATCTTGTTGTATGTGTGGATTGATAATTTCTCTAGCCAGTCCCAGTCTTGAAAACTGGACAATGGGATACATACCAAGATGACAATGTGACAAATGGACTCAATTGATCATACAGTATGAACCATCAGAAGAACAAGCTTTGTCCAGTTCACAAACCCAGGTTATAAAGGCACTCTCATGGATCAGTATAACCTGCATAGTGCCACTATGCACTCTCAGCATACAATGCCCAGCTTAGTGCCATAGTATCCAAGAGATATCACTTCACTTAGTTCTCAAGCCTTTTTCACTGAAAGGGAACCAGTACTTAGTGACAGCTTGGAAGACACTGTTTCAAACTCTGGATGTTCAGCAAGTTTAGTTAGCCACCATCCTTGACATTTTTCTCCACTTACTTTGATTGTAACTCAATACATTGACTTTGATACCATTATTCCAAGATGACATATTCTGGGGGAAAGAAAAACATTATGTCTATTATCATTATGGGTCCATGGCATATATTTGTAATCAGAAAGAAAGAAAGAAGCAGACCCGAAAAATGAATATGTCTAATATAATGTAAATTACATACAAGTTACACAAATTATTTAGTTTCTCTTTTGCTTTATTGGAACTAATAGACACAATATGGCAATACATGTTTGCTAAAATATACACAGATATGGATTCAAAATTTGATTTAAAAATATTGACACAGCACATTTAATAATTTAAAAGTTAATGGACAGTACATTTTTCTAAAGTAAATTAATTTCATTAAATACATATAAAAAAAATATGACACTAATCATGCAATGTTCTATGAGAATGACTGCAGAAATCTTTTAAAAGAATTGGGCCTTCATTTATAAAAGTAGGCATTTTGTAAGGGACATGTTACTCATTCAATTCAGGTTTTATTGTGCATAAGTGCAAAAATATGAGCAACCTCTGCATATGGTCCCCATTCCGATTTACCTTATGCATCCAAAGAGTCAAACCATGTATATGGTCCCCCTTCTGATTTACTTTATGCATCCACAAAGAGTCAAACCATGCATATGGTCCCCCTTCTGATTTACTTTATGCATCCACAAAGAGTCAAACC